TCCTTTCATTTGAATGGACTCCCGTGCCCCGGGACACGCAGGGAAGAAGTCCCTGCACTTCTTCGGAAACGCAGCCTGCACAGGTACCAAGGTTCCCGGTACGGTTGTGACTTCCAGTGCGGGCGGCGTGCCTTTAGAATTAATGGCACCCGCATTCCTCTGTGCGGGTGGTGCGGCTGCATGGATTTTTGTGCGGATCTGCAGCAGCACCCCCCCCCCCCCCTGCACAGATGTGAACCAGGGGTTAAAGAAAATTCCACTTTTTTGCAAAAAAATAAATAGCAATAAAAAAAAAAAAAAAGCATTTACTTTATTTATTTCCTAACACTGACGTACAAAGCTGTCCACCATACTGCCCCGAACTACATCACCGACCTAATATCCAAGTACCGCCCAGCACGCACACTCCGCTCCTCACAAGACCTCCTTCTCTCTAGTTCCCTGGTCTCCTCCTCCCATGCCCGCCTCCAGGACTTCTCCAGGGTGTCACCCATCCTCTGGAACTCCCCTGCCCCAACCCATCAGATTATCACCTAATCTCCTCTCCTTTAGGCGCACCCTGAAAACCCACCTCTTCAGGGAAGCCTACCCCACCCCCTGCTAACTTGCCGACCTCCTCCACTCTTCCTACCACTCCATCCCCCACAGCTATCTCCTCCTGTGCCACCATCCCCTCCCTCCTAGATTGTAAGCTCAAAAGAGCAGGGCCCTCAATCCCCTCATGTTTTGCATTGTATTGGTATTGTTCTGTCACATGTTCTGTCCCCCATTGTAATGTACAGCACTGAGCGAACTATTGGCGCTTTATAAATACTGTATAATAATAATAATTTGCATCGGAGATCACGAAGCATTGGAACTGCCGTCGGGGCTGTCTTAATGCATTGGCACACCTGGGCACTACCCAGGGGCCCCAGGTGCATGGGGGGGCCATGATAATCTTGCATTACATCATGCTTGCTAACAGTCCTTAATTTGTTCGGACAAAGTTTTTTCTAAGCTGTCCCAGGATGACCTGGGCAGCATCCCAGAACCTGTACTGTGCTCTCCTGATCCCAGTATTGCACGCTCCTGACTCCCTCCTGCACTGTGCCTTTCTGCCTCCCCCCTCCAGTCCTCTGCCCTTTATGTAGATTAATCTTTGATTTATGGCATTTTTTTCTAATTCATTAAAATAAATTTTATTGAAAGTACTAATAAATATATGTTTAATTCTATCAATTATTTCTACTTTAATTCTTGAGAGTAGGGGCATAAATTGGGACAGGCTGGTAGGGCCCCCCCAGTGCATTCTCCTAGATTGTAAGCTCTAACGAGCCGGGCCCTCTGTTTCCTCTTGTACCAAATTGTATTGTAACTGTAATGTCTGCCTTCATTTTGTAAAGCGCTTTATAAATCCTGTATAATAATAATAATTACTTTGCCCATTATGCCCATGATGCTATTAAGACGGCCCTGACTGCAGTCAGTGGATCCTGCAGACTATTCCTTCTACTCAGGTTTGTAGCAAAGTACTGACCTTCAGCTGTGGAGCTTGATGAAGTATCAATGGATGGAAGTGCGGTGATGTACTGCACTTGCATTCCATTGAGAATGAGTCTCTCTGCCATTTATATATGACAGGTGCAGGTGGGGAGAAGACCCCACAGATTCTGCAATTGGGGAGAGGGCCGTTTGAGGGTGGGGTGGGCTGCAAAATGTCCATTACTTGGTAATTTTGCATGTGACAAGCTTTGCTAAACATTACCAAAAGGTGTTCCATTGGCATTTATGTCCATGGTAGGATCTGACTGATGGCGGGGTTGCAGCCACTTAACTGGCTGCAAGCATGCTAGCAAAGGCCACATGACATATCTCAAGGGAATGGACACATTTCCTAATGGTGGCAACAGTGCCTGCATAATGTGTTAGAATGGTCACTTGTAGTCCCATCATTCGTTCATTTGAGCTGGTGACAAATGAACAAAACAAATGGGACACAGGGACAGAACGTAATCACCCTATAACAGGAAGTGCCTGAACATGGATTCTTGTGGCAGGATCACCAGGCATTTTATCCAAAAGCTGCAAATTAAACTTAATTTAAAAAAAAAAAAAAAAAAAATCACTTTTGGGTCTGACCACTGACAGGCAACTAAGCCATGTTCTCAGAATGTGGCTGCTCTGGAGACCTCCTACAAAAGTACTCTCCCAATGGTACTTGGTCCCTGCCCCAATAAATATGTTTCTAATTAACCACCAAGCTGCTTTTGTGGGTGTGGAAATGCAGGTAAAAATGTACACTTTTGGTGGACTTGTCCACTAATTAAATCCTTTTGGGATGAAGTGTTTGGAATTCTCTCTACCTTTTTTGGAAAACCCCTTTCCCCCCCTACTGTAGAATTGCTTAACAAAAGCTCTCCAGAGCTTACTAGGAGGCAATCTAACGCTGGCTATACACAATTTATATTTTTGGTTCAATCAAGCGGGTCAAATAAAAAAAAAAAAAAAAAAAAAAAGCCAATTTTCCCCATCCACATATTCGAGGTGGATGGGGGAATCCTTCCCACTGTACTATTGTATTCTGAGAGCTGGAAGCCTTCCCTGGATCAGAATACAAAGGTTAATGTTGCTGGCTATAACCGGCGGCACTGATCATTTTGGAAAGCCCCGACGGTGGCTGTACACAACTTAATCGATAGATCAACTTGTATACAACCAGCTAACCCAGGGGTGCTCAACGATGTGAAGAGAAAGGGCCATTTATGTGATTTGGCAGTTGGTCGCAGGCCAAAATGAAATAAAATGGTTCTGAATTTTTTTTTTTTATAGCATAATGAACATTTTCCTCCTGCAGCTGCTGAATGTTGGCAGGAGGGAGAGAAGGAGAAGTGGCTTTCAGAGGTTGCAGGAATAAAATGGACAGGATCTGTTCCTACAGTTGTGTCCAAAATTATATCAACCCCCACTGAAATTGAGTGTTTTGGCCAGTTTGACATTGCTTTTGATCATTCAGTCATCTTGCTTACATTTACATTAAAGAGGCACTTGTAGGTCAGACAAATATAACATAACAGTTATAATGAAATAACCACAAATGTCTTTTCTGTGCTCACAGCATTATCAGTTTTATTCAACCCCCAAGTGACATTCAATCTTAGTACTTAGTACAGCATCCTTTTACAGTTATAACAGCTTTTAAACGTGAAGCATAGCTTGACACAAGTGTCTTGCAGCGATCTACGGGTATCTTCGCCCATTCTTCATGGGCAAAGGCCTCCAGTTCAGTCACATTCTTAGGCTTGCGCACTGCAACTGCTTTCTTTAAGTCCCACCAGAGGTTCTCAATCGGATTTAAGTCTGGTGACTGCGATGGCCACTCCAAAATGTTCCAGCCTTTCCTCTGCAACCATGCTCTAGTGGACTTGGAGGTATGCTTGGGATCATTGTCCTGTTGAAAGGTCCAACGTCTCCCAAGCCTCAGGTGTGTGTGACGGACTGCATCACGTTTCCATCCAATATCTCCTGGTACTGAAGAGAATTCATGGTACCTTGCACACGCTGAAGCTTCCCTGTACCTGCAGAAGCAAAACAGCCCCAAAGCATGATTGACCCTCCACCATGCTTCACAGTAGGCAAGGTGTTCTTTTCATCATAGGCCTTGTTCTTCCTCCTCCAAACATAGCGTTGATCCATGGGCCCAAACAGTTCTAATTTTGTTTCATCAGTCACAGAACACTATCCCACAACTTTTGTGGTTTGTCCACATGGCTTTTGGCATACTGCAGTCGACTCTTCTTATTCTTTGGAGACAGCAAGGGGGTACGCCTGGGAGTTCTGGCTGGCACGGAGGCCTTCATTACGCAGTGTGCGTCTTATTGTCTGGGCTGAAACTTCTGTACCCACATCTGACAAATCTTTTTCTCAGTTCCTCAGCAGTCACACGGGGACTTCTCTCCACTCTACGCTTCAGGTAGCGCACAGCAGTCGAAGTCACATCTTCTTTCTGCCACGACAGGTAGCGTTTCAACAGTGCCCTTTGCCTTGAATTTGCGAATGATGCTTCCTAAGGTGTCTCTTGGTATGTTTAACATCTTTGCAATCTTCTTATAGCCATTGCCCTTCCTGTGAAGAGAAATCACACTCTTCTCTTGTCTTCCTGGACCATTCTCTTGCCTTCACCATGTTTGTAACCACACCAGTAAATGTCTAGAAGGAGCTGAGTATCACAGTCATTTTTAAAGCTGCCTAATTGGTGCTTATTATGCTTGATTGCTGCTCGGGTGACATCCACAGGTGTTTTCAATACCTGATGGAAAGCACCTGTATGAACCTCTGTTCTTCAGAGTGGTAGTCTTTAAGGGGTTGAATAATTGTGGCAATGAAGAAACCACATAAGAACCATTTACTACTGTATTACATAAACAATTGATGTCATTTTAGTTGCATTTGGGTAGTTACAACGTCCTTGTAGGATTTGATTCTGAATACAATTCCAAATGTACACTATAGTCCCTAAACCCCTTTACAGCATTGGGGGTTGAATAATTTTGGACACAACTGTATATATGCCAGGTGTAAAACAATATGACAGGGAGACTGCATGGACCACACCAGTGGTTGGGGGTGTGGTAGAAACACATCTCAACTATGGAGTTTTACCACCTCCCCCCTCAAACCACAAACTGTAAATGAGCCCTTACTGTCCTGAGCCCCCATAAGACTTTACTTTGGGTTAGCTGTGCATTGCCATAGACTTCTATTATATCTTGAGGGTCTAGGATGGTGGGTCGGCAAGCCCAGATCGCAATCAATGGGTTGCCAACCCTGGGCATGTGCTTCCATAGCTTGAGATCAAGGGCCAGATCAGAGGACCCCGAGTACCACATAGCCCATGGGTCACAAATTGAGCACCACTGAGCTAACCCATGCAGGGGTAGAAATTTAGCTGGTCCCTGCTGAACTGAACGAATTTCAGTCATTCAATGGCCAGCTTAAACTATTCTTGCAGATAACCCACAGTGGACAAACAAACCGTTGCAAAGGCTTGCAAGACCCCTGCGTTGAGTCCTACCAAAATGAAAAATAGGATCCCCCAGGCTAGGATTGACAGGGAAGGAGGACACCCTTCAAGATAAGATTCCCAAACATACTAAACTGTGGTATACTTGAAATAATTACTTTTTATCTCTAGGTTTCGATTCATCCCTACTGGAATCATGACCTACCTGTGCATTGTCTCAGGTGATCCTCAGCCCCCTTATGGGCAGCCGATTGCCTCTCCCCCCCCCCCCCCCCCCAAGAATACCCCCCTCTTTCCCTCTCCATCTTCCAACCCTCCACCTAATTTAGTATTGCCTTGAGTCCTGATATTCATTATTATCTGTTAACTAGTCTCTGTACTGAAAAGTCTAGCTGAGGGCTATGTTATTACCAGGAATGGCATTTTTTTTCCTTCTCATGCTATTCATGTTTGTAGATGTCTGAAATAAAACTAAAAAAAATCTCTGAATGAAAAAAAAATTACTTTTGAAATGATATAAAACGTTAAAACTTGTATGAAATGTTAGCGATTGATTTTTCTATATTTTAAAATACAACCTTCTGAGCACAGACTAATTGAGGTTTATGAAACACTCCTTGTACCCTACGAATCTGGGGAGTCAGCCACAAGTCTGGTGAGCAATGTCTTAAATTGTAGCCCAAAATGTGAAGAAACACTTCATAAGCCCCGCTTATACAGCGCTACAAATTGCCTGATTCATAAATTAACTCGACATCCAAATAATGCAAAGAGAACAAACAGCAAAAGGAACAGAAAGTCATTCTCTCCATAGCTGGCTCTCTGCCATGTGAAAATTGGACCCATTAGTCTGATAGATGGAACAGTGGCATTAAGGAACTGTTATATATCGACATCTACAATCCGGGCAGATCGGCAAAGGACAGGCAACGTTTACGGTCATTCTGTTAGAGCGAATGCATGGGTTTTTAGGGGTTATTTGTTCCTAAGCTTCCCCCAGTTTGGGACATAAAACAGTGTGTTTTGCATAATGACCTTAGAGAGAACCTGTTGCCAGACAGTTCAAATCAACAACTTTCCCATGAGATGTGCATCTAAGATATTTAAAGGAGACGTACACCCAAAGCTCTTTTGGCTGTACTTCTTTTGACGATCACAGGAGTGCAGTTCGTTCTGCACTCCTGTGACCCGTTTTCAGCTGACAGCGGGCTGCAGTCCACTGTCGGCTGACGTCACTCGGCTGGTCCAGGCTGGGGAAAGATCCTGACTTTAAAGTCAGAATTCACCCCAGAGTCTGAAGCGGCACCTGGCTAAGGAGGATGAGCCAGCCGCTGCCTCCCCTTCCACAGCCCAGCGCTCCAGTGAGCATGGGGGGGGGGGGCAGAGCAGAGCGTTCTATGATCAGAACAGTGGTGAGAACTCAGCGGTCATCTGAGTTCTCACCCTTACAGCCAGAGGGAGACAAATGCAGCATTGGACCGATGCTACATCCACCTAGGTAAGTATGATTTGGGGAAAAAAAAACAATAGAAACCCCGTACTTCTCTTTTATTGTATGTTATTTACCATGTTATATAGCACCCAAAAGCCATGAGACTAGGGTTGGGTGCTGCCATCTTGGATGTGATGTCAGCAGCCCCAGCAGACTGTATAGCAGCCTCTCTCAACCCTTTTACTGCAGAAGAAACCTTGAAAATATTTTTTTGGTCTCAGAGAACCATGGCTAATAAATTATAGACTGGTGAAGGAAGCTGCTGGGACTGTTTTAGCAGCAGAAGAAATGGAGGATTGAAAAGTAAAATTTCCTTTTATTGTTCACAGAGACCTAAATAACCAACTAACCCCTGCAAGTGCAGGCACATCGCTACTGCAGGGATAATTTTCTAGTTGCCTGGATTTGGGCTTCAAAGGGGTATTAAACCCACAATCTAACATTTACTATATTGTAGCTTAAAGCGGAGCTCCACCCAAAACGGGAAGTTCCGCTTTAAGGACTGCTCCCCCCGCTCTCCATTAAGGATTGGCACCTTTTGGGGGCGGGGGAGCGGGTACCTGAATTTGACAGGTACCCGCTCCCACTTCCGGTCCGATCTAGACAATCGGAAAACGGAAGGTGTCCTCCCTCCCTGTAGTCTTTTGGGACACGTGACAGGTCCCAGAAGACTACAGGTCCATTCATGAAGCGCAGTGCTACTCGCTCATGCACAGTGGGTACCCGGCTGTGAAGCTGCAAGCAGTCACAGCTGGGTGCCCACACTGAAGATGCCGGCTTCCAGGAATACAGGACGACCGGTGCAACGGCTGTGGGTGACACACAGCGGGACCGAGGGACAGGCAAGTGACTGTTTTTTTTAAAAGTCAGCAGCTACACTTTTTGCAGCTGCTGACATTTTTTGACAGGGTGAGTGGAACTCAGCTTTAACAATTCTTAAATGTGGTTGCTGAATTTGTTTTCTTTTTTAGGCTCTCTTTTATTTTCACCTGGTGATCCAGCCAGT